AAAAAGTCATAAGTTTCCAGAAAAAATAATACTCAAGTAAAGTACAGATACTCAAAAAGTGTACTTAAGTACAATACTCAAGTAAATGTACTTAGTTACTGTCCGCCTCTGGATATATAGATAGTGATATATAGATATATACAGTATTTATAGATGTAGAAATGTAAACAATCATGTAAAAACAACAATAATCATTTTATCAAATTCTTAAAACCCCACTGACTGCACTGCCATTCTTTTTCCATTTGAGGTTAGGAAAATCATGTCATGGCGATATGTCTAAAGCAGATGGGAACCACCTGTCTAGACAAAGATGAGACCATATGAGTCATTATTTCTCAAGTGACCAACTCAGTGGAACTGATGGTTTAAGTACTGAGCTTAACTTAACACTTTACTTGAGCTAAACCACACTGCAGCAGTCACTTCTGTCAAAGGTTTGAATGCACGTAATTAATGTTGATTTTCTTTTAGGAGATGCAATAAACGTCCACTTCATGTGAACACAAACAAGCAAACACTCTGAAATGTTCAACACAATTTTGCGCAATATAGAATGTGAAGGTATTTATTATTTTTTTACATAGCGTATGAAATGACATGTAAAAATCACAGAAATGAAGCCGCAAAATCCTGCATGTTGCTGTCCTTCACACAACAAAGCCTCACCACTTACAGGAAGTCAGACTGAACTCTAACCACATTTTGGCCATTTTGTATGCCAAGAGCCAACTAAAAATGCTACAGCAGTACACTCTAAATATATTTCAACACACATATGTTTTGGCCATTTTATTAAACTTCTTACAATATTAATCACTCTACTAAAATGCAATACTATGACTAACCTCAAGGGGGCATCTTCTATTCATCTATTTTCTAAACCGCTTGTCTTGCGTAAAGTTATAGGGTTTCTAGAGCCTATTCCACCGTCACATGCTGTAGGTAGAGAAACACCCTGGACAGTTGGCTAGCAGGAGGCACCAAGGTAAAGTGTGCTTGTAACTTGTAAGGCAATCATTTAACACACTGACATCAATGAGACACTTACCATGTTTAGTCAACACTCAGTCACCATTGCCGAAGACTCCAAAAGTAAGTAAAGCCATGAATTAATCCTACCTGTGGAAACATACTTGGAACGGAAAATGCCATTACACCTTTTCCGGGCAATTTTGACAGTTGACCTTTTTTGCAAAAATCAGCAGCAAACAAGTTTAGAACATTGTAAAATCTGAGGAAGACATCTGTGAAAAAAGGAAGAACTCCTTGTTTCTTGTAGTTTATGCAATGATTATTTTAAAGTGGATCAGTGGTTTTGTGATGTGAGTTGGTTGTTCTCATAACACATGATTTCCTCAAGTGTTTACACAATTTTGCTAAATCAGACAATATTGTGTCAAATATATACTACAGTATTAACTTCTTATTATTGAATTGTTGTAAATAAATATCACATTTGCAACTGGTCAGTGTTCAAAAAATGCTGGGAAATCACTTCATATAGCCCTACAAGAGTGATTACTGATAAACTATCTGAAAAAAAGAAAGTCACGTTTTAGAGAAGAAAAAAAAGCACCTACTGACTTTCAAAGCTGCTACAGAGTAACGACTTTCTACTTAGAGGATCTTGATAGAAATGTAGTGGAGTGAAAAGTACAATATGTGTCTTTCAGATGTAGTGAAGATAAAAAGTCATAAGTTTCCAGAAAAAATAATACTCAAGTAAAGTACAGATACTCAAAAAGTGTACTTAAGTACAATTTCTAGAGCCTATTCCACCGTCACATGCTGTAGGTAGAGAAACACCCTGGACAGTTGGCTAGCAGGAGGCACCAAGGTAAAGTGTGCTTGTAACTTGTAAGGCAATCATTTAACACACTGACATCAATGAGACACTTACCATGTTTAGTCAACACTCAGTCACCATTGCCGAAGACTCCAAAAGTAAGTAAAGCCATGAATTAATCCTACCTGTGGAAACATACTTGGAACGGAAAATGCCATTACACCTTTTCCGGGCAATTTTGACAGTTGACCTTTTTTGCAAAAATCAGCAGCAAACAAGTTTAAAACATTGTAAAATCTGAGGAAGACATCTGTGAAAAAAGGAAGAACTCTTTGTTTCTTGTAGTTTATGCAATGATTATTTTAAAGTGGATCAGTGGTTTTGTGATGTGAGTTGGTTGTTCTCATAACACATGATTTCCTCAAGTGTGTACTTTGTATCTGTATTCATAAACTCATGTATAACAAGTATACACACTGTAATTCTAAAGTAAATAGTTCTTGAACTCGAATGCCCTAAAGTTACTTGCTCTGCCTTTTTTGTTTTGTACACCTGTCATTTGAAATCAATGAAAGTCACCTGGTAGCTCACAACCAGTTGCACTCTGAAGCTAAGCAGGGTTGAGCCAGATCGGTATCTGGGTGGGAGATCTACCTGGCAAAATCAATGTTGCTGGTGTAGTTGATAGTGAGGTGCTCACATTGATGGCGGCATGGTTCATACTATCCCAGTATGCTCCTGTCCTAATGGTGAATTTGTGGTGGTCTGTATGTTTGTGTGAAGTTCACTAGATTGCAAAAATCAGCAGCAAACAAGTTTAGAACATTGTAAAATCTGAGGAAGACATCTGTGAAAAAAGGAAGAACTCCTTGTTTCTTGTAGTTTATGCAATGATTATTTTAAAGTGGATCAGTGGTTTTGTGATGTGAGTTGGTTGTTCTCATAACACATGATTTCCTCAAGTGTGTACTTTGTATCTGTATTCATAAACTCATGTATAACAAGTATACACACTGTAATTCTAAAGTAAATAGTTCTTGAACTCGAATGCCCTAAAGTTACTTGCTCTGCCTTTTTTGTTTTGTACACCTGTCATTTGAAATCAATGAAAGTCACCTGGTAGCTCACAACCAGTTGCACTCTGAAGCTAAGCAGGGTTGAGCCAGATCGGTATCTGGGTGGGAGATCTACCTGGCAAAATCAATGTTGCTGGTGTAGTTGATAGTGAGGTGCTCACATTGATGGCGGTATGGTTCATACTATCCCAGTATGCTCCTGTCCTAATGGTGAATTTGTGGTGGTCTGTATGTTTGTGTGAAGTTCACTAGACATTAGGTTGTTGTTTTGTGACTTTAGATTTCAGAAGGGTCTACTTACACCAGGTCCTCACAGACGTGGTCATCACAGAGGACTAGTTCTGCTGAGTTTAGCTCCAACCCCAATCAAACATACATGAACTAACAAGGTCTTCAGCATCACATGAAAATTACAGGCAGGTTGGAACGTATCCAAGACATTGTTCTTTGGGAGAGATCCTGACTCTCTGCATCCTCAAAGAAAATGCTTGTCACTGGGGCAATACCCTATGGCTGGGGCAATACCCCAAGCCTATGCCTTTGGTGTTGCTAGCACCATGCTCTACTGTTTGAGCTTGAATGAACTACTAATATGCACCCTTTAGGAGTAGAAAAGGTACAAAGATGTTCCTGTGAGGGTACTACCCCAGTGACAAGCTTGTGTAGCTCTCAAGGTTCGATTTTTCCACGTTTTTTTCAGACAGTGTGTGGTTGTAAAAATCCCACGGTGAGTAGATGTTTGACTTTGGTGTCCTGGCCAAATTGACCTTTGGTTTCAGTGGAAGTATCCACACAAATGCTATAAAAAAGTAAGGAAGCTATTATCTCACTCCTTTCCTTTCCTTTCCTTTCCTTTCCTCTGTTTCTTTTTTCATATCCCTCATCTGATATAGATGTGTTTAAGTCACTTGTGTGTAACATGTTAGTGGCCCTTTGACAGATGGCTGGCATTGAATTTGTTTGCTATGACGGACATGTCTAGTCGAACAGGAAACAAGTTGAGATAACGATCACATTATGCAGTCTCCAGTCTGCACTTTGGTAAAATATAATTTTGGTAATTCATCTGGAAGGCTATCAATGTATACCTGTGCTAATGCACAATAAATAGTTCTGTGCTTATTGATGTTTCTGCTGGTTCCCTTTTGGAGTCGAGAGTTTCTCAGACCGAGTGTTGTTCTCTAAGAAGGAACCGCTCTACTCTTGCACTCCATCTCATACCATGTCAGTCCACTTTCTCACCAATACCACCAACTCTGGGACAAACAGTATCACAGCTGTGAGAAGTAGTGCTGGATCGATTTCAGGGGCTCTGCTCCTCTGCCTTTTTCTACCCATTGGTGTCTCTGGAAACCTCTTGATCATTTGGAGCATCCTGGCTCGAACCCGCCAACGTTCCATCACAACCCTGCTGATCCTAAACCTCGCCTTTGCGGATGGATTCTTGATGCTTTTGATGCCTTTTTTCATTGTTTATTTGTTAAAACGCAACTGGATTTTTACCCTGCCACTGCGCAAGATTCTGCTGTACCTCTGCAGTGCCAACATGTACGCTTCAATATTTTTGATGACGCTAATGAGTTTGCACAGGATGGTGGCTGTAGTGTGGTGGAAACATGCTGGTGTCCTGACAGACCGGAGGGCGATTATTCGGGTGTTGGTGGGACTGTGGATTTTTGCTCTCGGCATATCAGTACCTAACTCTGTTTTCTGGACCACTTTCAGGAGTGAGCTAGAACCAACATTTTTAATGTGTGATTGTAAACATCCACAGCCACGTGATGTAAGTTATGTTTGCCAGATAAACATTTACAAACCAATAATATTTAGTAACAATTAAAAAGAATAGTAACTCAATGTATGCATGCTACTAACTTAACTAGTATGTTTATACCATAATAGCTCAGACGTTTACTGTTGCTTTTCCAATAACTAGCTATTTTTTAGTAGTGCTGCAGTGTCGGTCATAACCGTCTTAACCGTGGCTTGTGTAATGCAAACACATACCATCTTCATCACTGTGTCTGCCACGTGACTGTTCCCCTTTAGGGCTCTGTCTTTACATTTATTTTGAAAGATGAAGCTCGCGATTATGGTAAGGGGCGTTACATTTCCGACGAGTGC